GGGGGGGCCTGGGAGCCAGGACTCCTGGGTTCTCTCCCTGGGAGGGGGGCAGGGCCTCCTTTGCATGTTGATTGTGGGGCCGCGAAGGGCAGGAGGCTGGGGGAGGCGTCACCCGCCTGTAACCACGGGCCGGCAGGGCTGGGTGCTGGAGCCGCGCCCCCAGCAGCAGGTCATGGGGTGGGGGGCGCTAGGAAGGGCCGGGGCTGTGTGGGGTCCATGGGGCGGGGATGGGACTGGGGTATCTGGAGCTCTGCAGGCCTGGCTGGCCGGTCTCTGGGCTGGGCCGTGGGCCGGTGCTGGAAATCCCCACAGCTGGGTTACGGGATCACGGAGCTGGGCCCAGCCGGGCGAGGGCCCCACGACCCCGGACCGCAAACCCCAAATGCTTTTCTGGCTCTTCGCCAGCACGTCTGGCCATGCCTCAGTTTCCCCATCTGCTGCACCCTTCACAGTGGGGCTGGGGGGGTGTATCCCAATGGCCCACCTGCCTCCCCAGATCAGACCCAGGGGCTCCCCATTTGACTGGAGGTAGGTGGCCGGAGAGGGGGGCTCCCTCTCTGGGGCGAAGGCCACGGCCCCTCCTGACATTCTCCGGGTCCCAGTCGTGGCCGGAGGAAGGGGCCATGCCCAGCGCGCGATGCACCCACCCACCCACACGCACACCGCTCTTAGCTGGATGCTCGGGGTGCTGTCCTGAGACCACTAACAATGGACACGGCCAAATAGGGCCCAGTTCTGGGTTGGGGGGGGGGTCCTGTCCCCAGCCGTCCTATAACCCCATCCTCTCTCGCTGCAGGGGGGAAGGGGAGGGACCCAGGCGTCCGGCCAGGGCCAGGCTGTGGGGCACGCAGGCGTCTGAGTACCAGTGGGGGGAGGGGGAACAGTGAGAGGAAGAAAGAGGAACCCAGATGTCCAGGTGGGGAGACAGGAGGAAGGAAAAGGGGCCCCTGGGGGGGAGGGACAAAGGGACAGCCGACTAATCCCCTTCTCTCCACCAGCAGTGGCCCCGGCCCACCCCCAGGAACTGCTCTAGTTCCTTTCTGAGCCCTGCTAGGCCCTCACAGCGTCCTGTGGCAGGGAGTTCCCCAGGCTACTGTCGTCCTTTGGCTTGTCTCACACCTGCTCCCTGCTCTGTTGATAGGGTGACCCCTGGTTCCTGTGTGAGGAGGAGGAGGAGTAAACGACCCGTCCTGCTTTACTTCCTCCGCCCCCGCGGGACTGTTCTGGGATATTTTTGTGGTCACACCAGGGAGTCACAGAGAGGCACTTTCTGACTCCAAGGTCTCTCCCAAGTGGCAGCAGCTAATGCAGAGCCCACTGTTGTATCTGCAGAGTTGGGACGGGGTTTCCCAATGTGCATTTATCAGCGTTGAATTGGGCCTGCCAGTTTGTTGCCCCGTCACCCAGTTTTGTGAGGTCCTTTTTTGAATCGTCTGCAAATTTTGCCACCTCTCCGCTCTGTCGACTAGGACGGGGCCCAGCACAGACCCCCTGGGAGACACCACGAGGTCCCTCGCTCCATGCTGAGAACTGACCATTTATTCGTCTTCCTTTGCTCGAGGGACCGTGTCAAAGGCCTTCTGACAATCGAAGTCCACGATCTCCACGGGATCCCCTTGGCCACGGGC